CCTCCCTCTTTCTTTCTCTCTCCCTCCCTCCTTCTCTATCTCTCCCTCCTTCTCTATCTCTCCCTCCCTTTTTCTTTCTCTCCCTTTCTCTCTCTCCCTCCCTTTTTCTCTATCTCTCCCTCCCTTTCTTTCTCTCTATTTCTCTCTCTCCCCTCCCTCTTTCTCTCTCTCCCTTCCTCCCTCCCTTTCTCTCTCTCCCTCTCTCTCTCTCTCTCTCTCTCTCTCTCTCTCACACACACACACACACACTCTCTCTCTCTCTCTCAGACACACATAAATACACACTCACACTTATAAAGTGTAAACTTAAAATATCTTAAATGCATCCTATACTTCTAAAGGAAACACGTAGTCCTTGACCTGTGATCCCAAGTGAGCCCAAAATTTATGTGGCTAAAGTGAAACATCTGCTCAATGAATTTTGTGCCATTTTACGATCTCTCTTTGCCACGGAAGTGAATTGCTTCTGTTGTTAAGTTGGCCACACAGCTGTTGAGTGAATCTGGCTTTGAACTTTGTAAAACTGCCCCTGAACGAGCCATCGTAAGCCAAGGATTACCTGTGCCAAGGCAGATGATTACGGGTGGTTGCAGGTTGGCAGCAGACAGAGAGAGCCCCCTGACAGTGATGTAGTTGTGGCCCGTTGTTTCTTTTATAATCACCATCTGATGATGCCGTCATGGCGTCTTTGCGATCCCAACGCAGGGCAGGGCAAAATTTCACTTCACACGTTTCCCTCAGCAATGGGAATGTTGGGCTCAGTTGTGGTCAGAAGTCAAGGACTGCTCTTAATTATTGTATCAGGATTCTGGCAATTACTCCAATTAAATCACGAGTATCCAGCCTACTTTCCAAAACTAAACAGGATTTACTGGGAGTTAACATGTCCAGCAGTACCTGGGTGTAGCTGACTCTGAGGCACATTTTTCACTGTCACCCTTGACCCTGGTTTTCTCCCCACCCCCTGGGTGTCTCGTAATTCATATTCTCCAATGGGACACATCCATAGCCCAGAGTCATCAATCATGTTCTCCAGTTAGATCTTTGCACGGCAGAAACTTCAGTCACCTAGTTACTATCTTTGAAAACATTTATGGAATGCACTTTTGATTTCCAAACTGCCACACTTCTCTTTCAAACCCCTTTCCCCCCCCTCCCTTTCTGTTGGCAACTCTAAAACGGCCATAGAAATGCTTTATGAGTTGACATATTGCTACTTATGAATGGACCAACCACCTTGTTGGTGTTTAAAGTAACTTATCAATCTGCACCAAGACAGAGTTATCTTTACAGAATAAGCTTTTCGGCATGACACAGATTAAAAAAAAAAAAATCAGGTGAAGCAGCGGTCAAATGGTTGAGGTCAATATGTTGACCTCTTTGAGAAGATCCCTCTCAGTGCTGATTGGCTGGCTGTCCTCTAGGCTGGCTGGGGAATTCTGGGAGTTGAAGTCTCCAGGCTTAAAGTTGCCATGTTTGGAGACCCCTGCTCTAGACTCATGTCTGAAAGGGCAAACAATGGTTACATGATGGTTCTCTGTGTTACCCACAGGCGTGATTGAGCTTGTAAAAGCCCACACCTTTAAAAAATCAGGATCATCAGTGCCTTCCCAGGAGAGGTAAACCAGTTGTAAATACTACGGAAGGTTCTTGATCGTGTGCTTAACTGGCCTACATTTGTTGACTTCCTCCATACCGTGTTTGAGTTCACAAATCTGAAGATCGACTTTCTTCAGTTTCTCGCAGATTTTGGCCGCAGGGACGTGGCCGCTCATTGGACGGCTGACTTCAGTGAGGATCTTGGCAGCTGCGTCTTCGGTAGCCCCAAGGTAATAGCACTAGACAAAATAACACACAGGTGAAATGAATGGTTGGGCATCCTTGTTTTCTTCCCTGAGTTTTCATAGCCAGAAGTCTTCAAACGAAATTATAGAATAAAATAGAATAGAATGCAGAATATTAGAATAGAATAGGAGTAGGAGTAGGAATAGAACGGAATGGAATGCAATGGAATAGAATTGAATCAGGAACAGAACAGAACAGAACAGAATAGAATTCTTTCTTGGCCAAGTGTGATTGGACACACAAGGAATTTGTCTTGGTGCAAATGATCTTATTGCACATAAAAGAAAAGATACCTTCGTCAAGAGTCAAGAATCATCAGGTACAACACTTAATGATAGTCACAGAGTACAATAAGCAATCAAATCATACTAGGAAACAGTCAATATAAATTGTAAGGATGCAAGCAACAAAGTTACAGTCCTACAGTCATAAGTGGAAAGGGATGGGTGATAAGGTGTGATGAGAAGATTAACAGTAATAGTAGTGCAGACTCTATTCTACTATCTCAGGGACTTAGAAGCCGCACAATGATAGGTCTCATTAGTAGTTGCATAGGGGATAACTAAAGAAAACCAGAAAGACCTGGGTTACAAGTTGAAACAAAAGTGTGTAAAAAAAACCCACATACACTCTGGAAGAAAGATGTTGCAAATCGGTTCTGTAGTATTGTGAAGTAAATGGCATGGCTGTGTGTGTGAATTTACCAGAGGTCAACATGGATTTGAAGGACACATTTTTTAAAAAAATCTAAACTCTGCTTGATGGAGAGAAGAGAGAAGGTCATACCAAGCGGTGTTCTTTGCCTTTTGCCTCCATGCAAGTCTTAATTAACTCCTCCTCTATGGAAGCCATGGAGAAATCAGAATGGTTTTTTTTCAAAGAACTGTAGAATCTTTCCAAAAAATCTTGACACACTGTAAAATAACAAAAAACAAAATGTGAAAAAGTAAATACACACAATGCACAAAAAATGTTAGGGTTAGGGTTAAACAAATGGATCACCAAAAGTTTCCAACTCGGAGGGTAGAATTCATTATTATAATTCATAAAATGAAAACACATAAAAATAAAACGCAGAACTCATTTTATGTTGAAATTCCTCCCTCCCTCCCCTCCTTCCTTCCATGTCCTTCCCTGAATTTTCAGTGTCTCTATATAGAAAAGACATTATTATTTGTGCTTGCAGTTTTATTATGATCACACCCCTGTAAGCGTAGGCCCTTCCCCCACATTTGTTATGTGAGTTCTGCCCCATTTTACAACCTCTTGTTAAGTGAATCACTGCAGCTGTTAAGTTAGCAACATGGTTGTTAAGTGAATCTGGCTTCTCCACTGAGGTTGCATGACATGATCCCTGGGCACTGCAACTGTCATAAATGTGAGTCAATTGCCAAGCGTCTGAATGTAAATCGCATTTCCATGGGGATGCTACAACGGTCCTAACTGTGAAAAACAGCCATAAGTCACTTTTTTTCAGGGCGGTTGTAACGTTGAACTGTCACTATCTGTTGTATATTCAAATATGATACAGCCAAGAGCTCCTTTAAAGCAGGGGTCGCCAACCTTTTGGACCTCAGGGACCACCAAACTCATAATTTTAAATCCCAGGGACCACTAACCGGTTCTGTGGATGTGGCCTAATTTGTGGGTGCGGCTTGGTGGTCATGGGACTGGCTGGGCATGGCTTGTATGTAAATACTATAAATATTGATATAAATATTGATTTTTTTTTATAAAAAAGAGCAACTTTTACCCAAAATCAGGCAAAGCAAGCAGGCAGATTGAGTTGCTCACAGAATCATTCAGTGATCTATCTATCTGCCATCGGCTACCTGAGTCTGCCACATAAAATTTGCTTGCTGTGAGTCTGCACTGAATAATAGAACCTTCAGTCCTAAGGGAGGTTCAGTTGTGCTTAAAAGCAGAGCCGAAGATCTAAAGACTAGCTAGAAAGCAAGAAATGCAACAATTTCCTGCTTTCCAGCTAATCTAAATCTCCTGGCACAGCAGAACAGATGATGGTCGGAAAAAGGAAAAATAGCAATTTAGCAGGCAAGTTTGCCGGGTAAGGAGTGAGTGGGTGGGGAGGGTTCCCGCGGGCCATGTGGGCTGAGCAGCCTTGTGTTTCTGCGCAGCCTGAATTAATTGCTTTGTGGGGGTGCTCTGGGGGTGAGATTTCTCTGCGGCCCACCAAAATTTTCTCACAGCCCACCGGTTGGCGATTGCTGCATTTATCTATCCATCTATTCATCCATCTATCTTTTATCTTTCTTTCTTTCTTTCTATTATCTATCATCTAACTTTCATCTAGAAATCAGTCATAAATACGAGTCCTTTGTCAAAGGTCTGGATTTTGATCATGTGACCAGGTGGACGCTGCAATGAAGAAGTGGGGAAAAAAAGTCGCTCTCTCTCCATCTGCCTAGAACAGGAGTGTCCAACCTTGGCAACTTTTAAGACTTGTGGATTTAAATTCTTATAATTCCCCAGCTGGCTGTGCAGGCTGGGGAATTCTGGGAGTTGAAGTCCACCCGTCTTAAAAACGTAACCCAGGTTGAAAAACTCTCCTTAGCTCCTCTGCAAAGGTGAGTCAGTATTTGCAAGGGGGCGGAGGTTCACTTTTTAAAAAAAATACATGCAAAAGCCCACAACTCCAGGCAGTTTGCAAACAGCGCTTGCTCTTCCAGCTCAGGATCTCAGGAAGGGCATGCAAGCAAGCCAGCCATGCTGGAATCCACCACAGGCTAATTATAGCAGCAGAAAGGGAGCGCGTTTTGCACGCGGGTGCAACACAACACCCCCCCCTTCCTCACCTTCGCACCGAGCTTCGGCGCCCCCGGAGGCAGAGGAAGGCTTAGCCCCGGGGCTTAAACAGAGCGCCGCCACCAGCAGGGTCGCCAAAATGCAACCGTGCAACAGGCCGAGACGCGCCATGGTTGCAAAAAACAGAACGGAACGCGATCTTTCTTGCAAAACCAGCAGCTGCCCGGGCCGGCAGAGCGAAAATCTGCCCCGGTTGCTAGGTGGAGTGACGTCACGCCCGACTATTTTTTGGATTGGCCGCCCGGTGCCTGGGAAACAGAAGAGGAGGAGAAAAGAAGAATGATGCTAATAGGGCGGCGCTCCCGGTGCATTGTGGGTAGGCGAGCCGCGGCAAAGATGGCGGCGATCGGAATCCACTTGGGGAGCAGCTGCGCCTGCGCGGCCGTTTATAAGGCGAGGAGGGGGCTCAGGGTGGAGTGGGGGTCGTATTTTTACTGGGGAGGGGTCGTTTTGTCCCTAAAAAGGGACGAAACGGGGGTAAAAGCTGTCTTGGAAGAAAAAAGGGGGGTCCCTGGGAGCAGAGGGACCCTGAGATGCTACCTTTCTACGCGAGGGACCAGGGAGAGGGGTGGGGGGTTGGGGGGGGTTTTCCTGGGGGGGGCCCTGCCGGGCTCTCCTGCATCAGAGTCAGTGGAGGGGGCTTCGTTTGCAAGAAGAAGGGCCGCTATAGGGTGATAGAGAAGGGTGAGGCTGAGATGCTAGCTTTCTGCTTCCAAGGAGGGTTTTTTTTCTTTTGCAAGGGAGGGGAGGTTGCATTTTGAAGCTTTTGGGGGGCTTGAATTAGACTTATGAGGTCTGATGAGGTTTGGGGGAGATTGAAAAAGTTTGGGTTTTTTAATTTTTTGCAATTGTGGGTTGTTGTTTTTTGCAATTGTTTTTTTTTTTTTTTGCAATTTTATTTTTTTTGGGGGAAACTTGCACCACTTTGGTGAATTGCTCTCATTTTTACAACATTCCTTTATACATACATACATACACACACACACACACACACACACACACACACACACATATACACACACATACATATATATTCACACACACACACACGTGTGTGTGTGTGTGTGTATATATATATGTATGTATGTATGTATATGTATATATGTGTATATATGTGTATATATGTGTGTGTGTGTGTGTGTGTATGTATTTTGTTTTCTGAGGTT